ACATGCTATTCCTCTCCCTTTCATTTTAGATCCAAGTGAAGGCAGTATGTAGAAGAGCAAACTCACCAGAGCTACAAAAGGACATTACTTTGTTGAGTGCCATTTTTAGCCAATGGCTCATTGGGGTGGGGTGGGAACAGGCCCAGAAAGAAGCCTAAGGTTTTGGGAGGAAGAAGGGAGAGCCAGCAGAAACTAACACTGTCGGGAAATTGCTGTGTGTCAGGTACTCTGCTAAGCACTTTGCTTTTATTACCTTGATTCATAAGAACCTGAGGTTAAGGGATGGAAAAGTTAAGAGAGAAATTCATCATACTATCCTGAGCATATGTAGGAGAGAAAGGGGGGTGGTGATAACTTTTTCCTATCTAACCACATAGGGCTAAACTAGAGGAAGGGAAGAGTTGGGTTTGAGAGTGAGGTTAATTTAAGGAAATACTAAATAGTTGAAAGAGACTCTTGAATAACGTCTCTTCCTAAGGACCTTCCAAAAAATGTGATGGTCAGAAGTAGGCTAGGGGCAGGGCTGTTGGGGAACAATATTACTAGTGGCTCTGGGATTGATTTACATTCTAGAAAGTCAGGTCATGACCTGAGAGGATAGGATTAATCTTAGAAATAGGGAACAAAATGGAGCTTCTCATCCTACGGGGTCTTCAAAGAAAATAGTACTTATATACTAGGATTCAAGGAGGTAACCACATTCTTTTGGTGCTTGTGCTTGTTTGTTTTGCAATGCACTTTGAAGTCAAGAAACAATTTGTAATTTTGGAAAGACTCGGTGCCAAGTTCAGTATTGGTAGGGGCAGGTGACAACTTGAAAATTGACACTGAGAATTAAGTTGAGTTATTAAAAAAGTTAGTAGCCCTGGCTGGTGTAGCTCAGTGGATTGAACTTGGGCTGTGAACCAAAGGGTCGCTGGTTTGATTCCCAGTCAGGGTATATGCCTGGGTTGCAGGCCAGGTCCCCAGTGGGGCCCACATGAGAGGCAACCACAGATTGATGTTTCTCTCCCTCTTTTTCCCTCCCTCCCCCTCTCTCTAAAATAAATTAATAAAATCTTTTTAAAAATTAGTAATAGGGGAGCCAAAGTACAGAAATAATTAGAAAAAATGGAGTTAACCAGGAAAGATTCTTTGAAGGTAATGAAGATAATGAACATGGAACAGAAGAGAGGAAGTTGCTTAGAGGGGAAACATGGGGAAAAAAGGTTTACGTGTGTTTTGTGCAGAGGGCTATGAGTGAACTCGCCTGGGTGGTACAGGAAAGGAATCCCAGGAAATGAAGTCAGAAGGGCAGCCTTATTGACCTAATGAGGCGTTTGAATGTAATTTGATAAGTAGTAACAGCAGAGCATGATGAGGTGAATATGATGCTGAAGACTTTTGCAGCTGTATTGGGTGAAAGAGGCAGGAAAGTTTGCCTAGGATATCATTTTTCTGGTTCAGTGAGAAGCCCTGAGGACCTGCACTAGAGTAAGACTGGAATGAGAAGAAAGGAAGTGGATTCATAGGAATTAGCAAAGCTCGATGATAGTCTGAGTGAGAGGAGAGATACAAGATGGCCTGAAGATGATGACCCCAGGCCATACTGATGCTGTCCATGATGAGGAGAGCTTGGAAAGTGGTAGCTGCTTTGTTGTTAAGAAGGAGGAAGTGTTTATTAACTCCTTGATGGGATGTGTCTTTGTTCAGTGCTGTGGAGTCTAGGGGTGCACCCCCCCTGGAAGATAGTTGTGCATGTGGTGTGTACCTAGATGTTCACTTGCACGCTGTCCTGTTCAGGATGGAAGCCAGGTAAAAGTGTTAATTGCTGGGATGTGCCCATAGACTTGAAGAGTACTAACCCACTCTGCACCTGGAAAAGAAAAGAGTGGTTTGTTTGTTTGTTTGTTTGTTTGTTTGTTTCAGTTTCTGCCCCTTTAATGCTTTGAAAATGGGATATGACTAGCCTGTGGCAGCACATGCCTGTGGATGCACAGTTCTCTGGCTTGATTCTTGGAAGGCCTTTTTCTGTCCCTCCCTGGGGGTCATTTGTATCTCTAGTTTCTGCTCCCAGAGCCATAAAGTGGGAGCCCCCATTTATTAATTGGGTTGGGACTGGAGAAGGGGTCGGCGGGGGACTCTTTAGTGTGGCAGGCGGGGGTCTTCCCGAATGAGCCCATTAGCCAGCCCCAGTGGCAGCTGAAACGGGGCCGCAGCCAAGTCCTCTCCGTTTCAAAAACCCTCCATCGCCTGCAGCAGATCAGAACAAGGCCTGCGGGAGCCCTTAGCTTCTGATTGCAGCTGTGAGGAAGGACAAAACAATTTATAGGAAGCCAAGTAGCTCCTGTCTCACTGTCTCTTCCTTTCTGACTTTAGGGAGGGAGAAGACTGGGATGTGGTGTGTGCCCCCACCATAGCTTCTTAAAAGGCACATATAGGCCTAAAGAAGGAGAGAACAGGAGTGAACTTATGTGCGTTGGTTGGACATGTATGTTGATGTTCTGAATGTGTTTACACATGTCCACACACAGTTGTATTGGAGAAGCAGCCACTACTTATCTGGGGCTCTCCAGGGAAAAGCCAAATGTGTGCTCAGACTCTTGAACAGTCTGAGGGTGTGTGTTGTGAGGGGGCATGCTTATCATACTCTTTTCTGCCCATTATACCTGCCTTGTCTCCCCTCTGCTTTATCAAGATTCAGGATTAGAGTTAAGTCACTGTCTTAATATGTTTTCTTAGTAATAGAAGGAGTCTGCCATTTAAAAGAAGGCTTCTTAAATCACTTGTTTTCCCCTTATTTAAGCCAGAATGAGAAAGGCAGGCATCTGTAGAGGAGCTTCTTACTGCCTTGACCCAGAGAGAAGGTGCCAAGGGCAGGAATGTCTCACTTCCTGATGGAAAGACACTTGTGTCTTCTCCCTTACAGAATTATAGACTAGAAAGGGACCCTAGAGATCACCCAACTCAACCACTCAGGTAACAGAGCAGGAAACTGAGGCTTAGGGAAGGGAAGTGCCTTGCCCACAGTTTCACAGTAAGGTAGTGGCAGCCGCCAAGACTAGAATCCGAATGGCCAGGATGTTAACCAGAATCTTAATCTGAGTATAGAGACCCCAAACTTTAAGATCACCAACTCCTGAGAGCCCTTGAGCTTCCTTAGAAAAGGAAGGCAGGGCTATGAGATTTTGATAGGGGAGAGAGATTGAGGGAGAAAGGTAAACATGAAAAAAATTGTAAAAAAAAACAGAAGAAGCTTTATATATGTGTACCTCAAAGATTAACTTTTTAATAACATGCAAATTATACAAGTGTAATTTTTATTTAGACTCGAGGGTTCTGGTTTATTGGGAAGCAAGTAGCAGCCATGGCCAAAGACACTAATGCCCTCAGAGTTACTTCCAAGTTCAAGGAGCACTTCACCACCATCTCTGGGGGTTGGTTGGAGAGCCAGGAAAGACCCTCTGAGGCCATATGAGGAATTTACCCTAAATCTCAATTCAGGCTTCTTTACATTACAATACATCTATATTGAAAAGCAAAATCAGAAGGAAGAGAGAAACAAAACACATCTCACCTCCTGGGAAACTAAAGGAAGTCTGAGAGTAGAAGGAATTACAGAACAGTAAAAGGGGATATTTGAGATTACAGGGAAATTGGGGGTGGGGAACTCCTGTCCCCACCTCCACCTTTTTTTTTTTTTTTTTTTTGTAAATTTGAGTTACTGGTTTTCTCCCTTGGTGAGATGGAAGGTGGTATGGTGGTGGGCCACAGTGGTCTAAACCCTAGATCATGTACTCAGTGGGTCGGCAGGCACAGCAGGTTCCGAAGTCTCCTTACTCTGATACTGAGACTCCCCTCCCATCTTTGGACCTCCCCTGGATGTATCTACAAGTCCCTTCGATGCTTATGCATATGAGCCTGGGAGCCACTGATGATCAGGGAGAGGAACGAGGAAGAGTCCCTAAGCTGGAAGCAGAGTCTTGGAGGGAGAAAGGCACCACTCTGCCTCTCAGCCATAGAGTTACTGGTCTAGGTCAGGGGGCAGTGGGTCTGCAAAGTGAACATTGTATACTGATAATGAAGAATTAGAACCTTGTACAAAGCCTCACGTTTTCTCCAACACACTCTAACTGATAGCACGGGGAAAGTGGAGTTGGTCCCCATGTAAAAATTCACCTTTACCTAGGGCAGCGCTTTTCAACTGATGTGCCTCAAGAATTTTTTAAAAATGCAATACCTGACTATTTGGTCAGAGATACTGACCTCTTTTCCTTTAGATTGTCAAATTTAAAAATGACAACAGCTAACACAATAGCCATCAGGTGTGAAGGAATCAAAATTGTACCTATTTTTGTGTAAGATCAGCAAAAATATTTTTGGGTGTGCTGCAGAATTGTAGTAATTATTTTGTATGTGCCATGGGATGAAAAAGCATGAAAATCTCTGATCCAGGAAATATGTGGTAGACCTACATACTCAAATTCCACCATGTCTGCTTCCTGTGAACATCCTTTTTTTGTCTCATAGGATTTTTTGGGGGGGGTGCCCATGAGCCCTTCTTAAAGAAGCTATTTTAGACAAGAGAGACTTGAGTCCAAGCTGATGGTCTGATCTAAAATTAAATGACCTCTTCCAGTCATCTCCTTGCATTAACTTTGCTTTCACCTTGAACTTTCATCGCTCTTTATAATTTTGGGTTTCACAGCTTCTATTTCTATTGAATTCTTAAACTTTACTTTTAACTATAGGAACCATGGTTTTTACATTATTAGACTGGGAACTAATTTCCTGGAGGTAGGGCTCTTAAAACAGCTAAAACTGTCTGGCAGCATCCTTAAAGTACATTCATTCATTCTTCTGGGTTTCATGAATTCAGGTTGCAGGGAATTGGAAGAATGGTGGCCATCACCATCATTGCTGCCTACCAAGGCCATGCTCCTGGGTAAAAGACCCAAGACCCTCTTCGGTGTCTAATCCCTTGTCTCATGTCTAATGTAACCTGTCATTTTTTTTTACAGGTGGCAGTAGCAGCAGGAGGGATGGCCCCTGAGGAATTTGGTGATGCCTATCAGTTACCTGATATCCGGAGCCCTGGCAAATTCAGTCTTTCACAGACTCAAGCCAGGTAGGAACCTGAAGTCAATCAGAGGATACAGGCCTGCTTTTGTAAGGACGTACACATACACACATTTTCTGTCTCACACCCTGTCTCAAAAAAGTTTCTCATTCCCAATGATCCCCAGAGGTGGTTCCTTAGCTTTTTATTTGCCCTGGTTATGGTATCCTATCTTCTGATGAACCATTTTTCCCTCCTGACTACTGTGGGTAACCCCCTTTATTGCACTGGCAGTCATTTCATTCCTGTTCTTTACTCTTGGCCAGCTGTTCTAATGGATATTTCTCTTTGGTGGGCTGCTGATATGGGTTACTCTCAGCCTCTCCTCTATAATACCTGCCAGACACACCTACCACCTCATACATACACATGGTCCCTTTTTCCCCAAGAAGCTATTTTCTCTTCCTTTATGCTAAGTCAGGATAGGGCAGTGCTATCCCTTCTTACTACCTCTCATCAGCTTCTCCACCTCCTTTCCAGGTTAGATGGGAGATCCACCCATCCAAACACTGTGCTATACACCAGAAGTAGAGGCCTACAGGCTGCTTCTCTGTCCTCAATGCCCAGAACCAGGCAGGTCACCAGCCTCTAGTACTCAGCCCCACCCTTCTTGCTGCCAGGTAGGTGTGCTCCTCTCCCTACCCACCAACCCCAAGCAGGGTCATATTTCTCTCTGGGACTATTTCCCTCTGTTGTTAAATATCTTCAACAAGAGGAAGGCTTTGGTGACTCAGCTTTCTGCCTTGGTGACTTGTAGCCATATCTTTTATCGAGAACTTCCTGATGTTAAATCTCCACCCCCTTTTCTGTAGTTCAGAATCATTTTTCCCACTTAGTGGGTATGGGAGAAGTGGCCAGTAAACAGATGGTATTTGACACTGGAGGGGAAGGGTCTAATGACAGGTCGCCCCTTCTCTTGAGCCTAGAAATCTGAAGCTAGAAGATGTGCATTTTGCCCAGTGGCCTGGAATCCTTGTAAAGTATCTGGATCTTTTGAGGAAAGATGTTTTATCTGGTGTCCATCCCCAAGGACAAGGATCTCAGACTCTGAAGAGTCTGTCCCTGTTCATCCCCAGACCTCCCCAGGGAGTGGAGACTGGATTGCTGTAGTGTCTTCAGCTCAGGTGACAGGTATTGTCTGGTGCCTGTAGAGAGTTGGCAGGAGTGCCAGAGCCTCTCCTGCCATTGGAGATGACATCAGCTTACCCTTTTGACCTTAGGCCTCCTCTCTCAGCAGTGCCTCTTTCTGTTCTGCAATCCAGCAGCAGTAGCATCAGGCTTAAATAAGTGCCAGCTGTGGGTAAGGTGCTCCCTCCTCTGAGAGGCATATACCTTGAGTTAGGGTGCGGTGGATGGAGGCATAGGCAGTTGTTAGAGAGCAGGAAATGCCCCTGGAAATGGTCAGGCAGTAAGTCTGAGGCACAGAGAGCATCAACACTTACAACACTGCACACCTGTCTGTCTGTCAACCTGGCTGATCCCTCAAAGCTGCTAAGCCACTAGGGCAGCTGCAGTCTTGGTTTCTGCCACACGAGGGTGCTGCTTACCAATTAAAACTGCCCCTTAGCAGGTAGAGTTTGGGCAAGGAGGGCACCCTTTTCCCAAAACAGAGGTCAGAAAGACCCCCAAAAAGCCTGAGACTGGGGCCTAAGAAGCCAAAAGAATAATTAGTACCATTCACTCTTCTTTAAAAATGGCCAGAAACCCTGAACATTTTGCCCTAGCAGCCTGATATCTCAGTAAGTTCCCAGCTGAACTTGGGAGTCCCCGTAGCTCTAGGCACTGAACACCTTGCACAGGTGGCTTCTCTCCCTCAGGGTAAGCAGCCTCCAGCTGTCCACTGCATTGTGTCCCTGCCTCTAAGATAGTCACTTTTTAGCCCAGAGGGTGAGGGTACATTGCTTTTCAGAGAAAAAAAAATCTTTTAAAATTGTTCTAAGAGAAGTATCTTTGTTAGTAAGAATGTGTTTGAGAGAGGACAGGGAAGACAAGGAGTGGGAAAGTTCAGGCTTCTGTGCCCCCAGCATGAACCTACAGAGCTCAGGATGATCTAGTAGATGTTTGCCGCCCGAGTGGTGGGGGGTACCCTAGAATAGCCCAGGGGCTCTGAGCCGGAAAAGGTGTCAGAAAGCAGGGTGGGGAGGAAGGCTGCTTTGGCCCACAAGCCTCATATTGACCTCATACAGTGTAATGTCAGCCAGGGATTCAAGTGGCCATGGGACCCCTATGGGGATGAGGTACCCCACAATTGATCCGCAGTCTCCATGAAGCCCTTCCAGGCTGAACAGGCTAAGGGAGATGACAGAGGTTCTCCTCCTCCCTCTTACCCCGGTGCCCAAGGGCCCCTCCCCAGGAGGACAGCTTGATTAAACAGTCGGTGCTGCTGGAATTACTGCACAGCTGGCGCTCCCCCCAGCATCCTGAGCAGAGCAGCAGCGCAGATTAAAATCTCCAATTAGCGTTAAAGTGAAGTGAGGAGGTACTGAGGCTGCCAAGGAGGCCAGGCGGGGGCCCTGGGTTGGCAAACCACCCCCATTCCTGCCTGGATTCTTAGTGCCACCCTTAGCCACCCCTTGCCTAGCCCCTCTCCCAACAGCTCTCAGTGCCCGTTAGCTTTGCATTGCCTGGGGCTAGAGGACTTTACCAGGAGTGGTTAGGGGCAGGGGCAGGTGCTGACAAAATGCTGGTACATAGCAACTGTGGAGGAGAATGAGAGTTGTCAGTGCTCTCATCAAGGGAGATACCCTACTCACAGCCTGCCAGGCTGCCAGGTCAAGGTGACTTCACACTGCTGCTGTTTCTTTTTGCCTAGAGAAAGAGCAAACAGAACAAGTCTTTCTAGGCCTTCTTACCTATAAGGTGCTGGGGGATGTGGTGCCAATACAAACATTTATTTTTTTATATTTTATCCTATCTGACCCATTTACTCTCACCCAAATTATGACTCCTTCCTTCCTCCCTTCCTCCATTCTTTTCTCAGTTTTCCTGTGGGCAGGAGTAGGCCTAGCCTGGCTTGGGAACATTGCCATGCCCTGCCACCTGGGTCCCAGCTGCCTCTTTTTTATCTTCTTTGCAGTGTGAGGAGGAGCAGTGATATGCCAAGAATGGAGGCCGAAGACTCCCAACCCCTGAACATCACACCCCCACCTAAGGGTCCTCTACCATTTACACTTCTGCCCTTTACCCACCAAGCCTAGGAGGAGGGCAACACAGCTAGCCATGCCCTTTGACTTCCCTCTGCCCCTTTAAGGGAAATGGAAGTGGGTACCCAGCTGACTCACACCTCTAGAAATTAGACACCAGGGCACAGTGCCACCCTCCCAGGCTGGCACATGCTACCCTGGCAGAGATTCAAATAGCACCCCCCACCTTCGTACCCCCACCCCTATGTCTTCCTCTTCTCTCTCCCTCTTTCTTCCTCTCTGTCTTTTTTTTTTTTTTTCTCAGCTCAAAGCACAGCTGAGCCTTAAGGGGGGTGGTGGGGGGACCAAGCTGGGGCAAGGGGGGTGGAGAGCTCCAATAGCACGTTTTCACCTGCCATTTAATTGGATGTATTTTTAATTAATGGGACCTCAGGGACCAACATGAGACAATCTGATCTCTGAATAGGGACAGGGGAGGGATTGGGTAAGGGAGGAGGATTGGGCCACTGGGTGCGGTTACTGGGAACCCAGGCCCATCAATCACTGGCCACTTTGCGTTCTGGCATGGAGAGCAGTGAGGTGGAGGAGGAGGGGAGGCCCTGAGGAGAGGTGCCAGGATTTACCCCCAACTGCCAGGAGCTCCAAAAAGGATGGAACTGTACTCGTTGACTCAGGCCTGGGGCCCAAAATTGCAGCCAGGATATTAGGTAAGGCTGTTTCCTTGCTCCTAGGGTTTTGTCACGTTGGCCTTGTCCCAGTGAGTTCTATAAAATAAAGTGAAAGGAAGGTGGGGGGACAGAGGTTCAAAGAGAGAGGACAAGAGCTAGGGACCATAGAACCATAGACTGGTAAAAGAGAGGAGGAGGGCAGGGTTCAGAGATATTTCAGTCTGTTTAGACATAAAATAAGTGTCATGGAGATTATATGCAGAACAGCATGCAAATGAGGCCTGGTGCCTTTGGGATATGAATCATAGAACCTTCGTGTTGCAAGGAAGAGAACTTGGAGTTCATCTTGCTGAACCTTTCCTTTTACAGACGTGGAAAAGGAGGCCCAGAAGTGAGAAATCAGTTGAATTCTGCCCTGGTGTTGCTTTGTGTTCGCGGATTTGAAGGATTCCCGGGAGCACAGGGAAAGGTAGGTAGATAGGATGTGGAAAGGAAAGTCCAGGGAGGAACGTCAGCAGGGTGTTGTTCTCTGCTGCTTGGAGTCTAGTGTCTCTGGCCCCTGAGTCTTGGAAGCAACTCAGGGGAGTCAGGCAGGTGCACTACTAGGGGGACATTTCCCTTTTACAGTGTGTTCCAAAGATTATCCCATCCATTTCCTTGCTTCTAGGCAGACAGATCCAACCCCACCCCCACTCCCATGGGCTTTTACCATATTTTATAAGGTCCGCAGAGAAAGAAATGCACCAACTACCCCAGTTCCTTAACCTAGAAATAAATCCCCCAATGATGACTAAATATTGAGCTTTTCTGAGATTTTTGTCACAGGTTTCCCTGCTGTAATGTAATCTGCTAGAGAAAAGTAAGACAAAAAATATAGTAAGGAGTAGTCTTATACCTGGTGTCCATGTCTAAGCTGAGAGCAGAAATGGAAATAGAACTCCAGGCCCTGAAGGCTGAGTCAGAAATGCCCCTGTGTTCATGCGGAGCTCCGGCCCCAGAGCTCTTAGTCAGGCCCCATCTGCTCCGTGTGGTATTGGTGCACTGGAGTGAAGGGTACGTTTCCTGCTGTCTTCATCCCCACCCCCTTCTTACTTCACTATTCAGGCACTAGGGTTAAGAAGGGAGAGAAGGAAGAAAAGGGACTTTCCCACCAAGTTGCCAGAGGTGGCATTTCCTGGTATCATCTTCCTTCCTCAAAAAATTTAACATTCTTTGTTCTGTGCTTCATGAGACTAAGTTGAGATGAGGGCAACGATGGACAGAGAGGAGCTTGGAAAGCAGCGTGGGTGGAAACTTATTCACTCTCCAGCCCCCAACACTGCTCTCCCACTCCCAGAATTGCCTTCTCCTCTGTCTTCATATCCCATTTTATGTCCTCCAAGGCCCTGGGCAAGAGCAGGATGTGCCCCTCTAAGTGTCCCCAGCCTCACTCTGCCCTGCCCTTAGACCTTCAGGGTCATCTTCTTGGCTGTCTGATTCTCTGCCTTCTCTACTGCTGACAGGATGAGAAGGGGCCCTTGCGTCCCCCAAAACAGTCGGGAAGGAATCCTTCTAGCTACCCCACTGCTTCAGAGAGCCTGCAGGGAGAGGTTGGGGCAGGGTAGGAGAACTGTGCACAGGAGTTAAAAAGAGTCTCCTGTCAGGGGAGATCAGGAAGAAGCCCACAAGTGGGGAGAAGATAGGAAAGATTTGAATCCCACCCATGGGACTGGCTGCCTAACATAGGGCAGGCTGTTCACACTGAATATTTGGGGGGAGGGCGTTTATTAGATGGCTCCTGTTCACAGATCCTCGGTTTCTCCTCTGAAACACAGAACAGTGGAGAGGAGAATGCAGTGAAGAAGGAGGGGGACCCCTGGCGGAGTGGCTCCGTTGGTTGGAGCATTGACCTGTACACCCAAAGGTTTTGGCTTCGATTCCTGGTTATGGCACATTGATGTTTCTTTCTCTCCCTCCCCCTGACCCCCCACATTTTCTCTCTAAGATCATAATAAACATATCCTTGGGTGAAGATTAAAAAAAGGAGGAGAGAAGATGTCAGGCTTTCATACACCCTCTTTCTTACTCCTTGTCTATCCCTACTCCAACATTGGGGGCATGTTGGAGGGGCTAAAAGGCCCTTAAAGCATTCAGTCTGGATTCTAGATATTTCTCTAAGGAACAGGGCCTCCCTTTTCCCAACCCTGCCTCATATTACCAAGGTTCAGCCAAGGGTGCCAGATCTCCATCCCTGGAGTCAAAGCCTGCAGCCTGCTCTGGAGTCTAGAAGAAACCCTGAGCCTTTGCAGGGAAAGAGGCATAAACTTGCAGCACCCAGAATCTTCTGCACTCTGGAGAAAAGGGAATCATTGAGGCGTTCAATATTTGTCTAGGTTTAGGACCCCTGGTAGGACCCCTTTCCTCCTTCTCCCTCAGTGTGTCCCAGTGGCTGGAACGAGATCTGGATATCTGAACCTCTCACTTTGACATCTTGAAAGTTATCACGCAGATCCCCTCTCTAGCTCCCACAGCCATGGAGGAGGGGAAGGAAGGCATCTCAGAGGCGGCTGTCCCATTATGTCCATCAGCACCCAGGGAGAGAGGTCAAAGAAAAGAAATTGACCAGAGAGGAACCCAGGAGGAGATAATAACTGCTCCTCAACAACCTCCTTACCCCACTCTTCCCTGCATCCCCTCTCACACGCCCACAAGGCTGTATGGCCAAGTGTACCGACTCTCCTGGCTGGCAGTCCCATTCTCTGTGCAAGCAGCCAGCTCTCTGCTCCGCACAGAGCACACACTGGGATCTCTTGTACTCTTTTGCTCACTGTTCTCAACGTGTGTTGGCAGATTCCTAGAAATAAAGAAGGGGGCTCTGGGCCTTCCAGTAGGAAGATGGTGGGCTCTCGGGCCCTTTTGGGTGTATCTGCTTGGCTGGAGGAGGGGCAGGGAGAAGGCTGCTGGCAGCTCAGCTGAGCTCAAGGTTCTGGTGACTCAGCAGTTGGGGGCGGCTCATGAAAACAGCAGAGGGGGAGGGGGACCAGGCCTGTTAGAACCCTCTTTTGCCCATTTCCCCCCCACTCTGAACTCTGGATGAAGGTCTCTTTTCTGGATTGTGGGGCAGAGAGGACCCTAGCTATGAAAGAAGAGAGGGAAATGGGAAGGCAAACAGGGGAGGCTGAGCATCCCAGTGAGAGGCCTTCCAGTGAGGAAAGGAGAGGCCAGTTATTCTTGCTGTTACTGTGACCACTGGCTGCACAGAAGACACTGGGTACCCACTTGTGCTGGGGTAGCTCCGTGCCCCTGGGCACCTTTCAGAAGAGGGCCTTTCCAGGCAGATCCAGCTACTTCTCCCTGCTCTCACTTGCCTGCTCAGAGCTCTGGGTACCCAGCTGACATCTCATGACTTAGGAATTTAAAAAAAAGAAAAGAAGCCCTGGCTGGTATAGCTCAGTGGATTGAGTGTGGGCCTCAAAGTAGCAAAGGGTCGCTAGTTTGATTCCCAGTCAGGGCACATGCCTGAGTTGCAAGCCAGGTCCCCAGTAGGGGCCACATGAGAGGCAACCATACATTGATGTTTCTCTTCCTTTTTGTTCCTCCCTTCTCCTGTCTCTAAAAATAAATAAATAAAATTTTAAAAGAAAAAAAAGATTTGCTTTAAAAAACAAAACAAAAAGCTGTGGCTAGTGTGGCTCTGTGGATTGAGCGTGGGGCCTGCCAAACAAAAAGTTGCTGGTGGAATTTCCTGTCAGGGCACATACCTGGGTTGTGGGCCAGGTCCCCAGCTGGGGGCATGCAAGAGGCAACCGATCGATGTATCTTTCTCACATCAATGTTTCTCTTCGTCTCTTTCTCCCTCCCTCTCCTCTCACTAAAAATAAATAAAACCTTCAAAAAACCATTATTATAGGGCCATTTAGTCTCTATACTCTCTTCCCTGAAAATACGCTCCTTAGATCTTTAAAGGTGCTGATTCTCTCTTCCCCTATAGGCAAGGTTGGCAGCGTGCATCCTCTCCAATCCTTTCTCAGTCAGGGGGATGGTAGGGGATCATATCTGATGTCATACGAGCAGCATGGGGCCAGAAGATGAACCAGGAGAACCATCCATGTCTTTGACCACAGTCCCAGTGACCTCCTGGTTTCAGCAAAGGGAAGCAGGGATCTTGGATACCAAGTGTCCAGATACATAAAAATAAATACCCTCTCTCTAAACTGAGAGAAGGCTGGGCTAAGAGGAGGGGACTTTTCCAACAGAGTTCTAGTACTCATTTGCCTGTTTCTATGCCTTTCGTTGCTGGTGGCTCTGCTCTGCAGCTGGGGTGAGGTGTCTTCTGCTGGGATGCTCCTGGAGATCCAGAGACGGTTTTGGTTGGAGAAAGGGTCAGATCAGCTGCTCTTCATGTAGGAAATGGGACCAGCTCCACTCCCCAGCTCCCCCTGACAGCAACAGGAGCCCAGGGGCCCTGCTGGAATACCCACAATATTGCTCGGTTCTAACTTCAACCAGTGATCACCTGGCTCTCGTGTAAAAGTGGGCTGTGAGGGGGTGCACCAGGTGTGGTGCGATAGTAGAGTGAGTGAGTGAGAAATTTAAGAATCTCTCCTCAGGACCACATGCTTCTCCTCTTCCTCAAACTCTCCTCGGCCCCCCTTTTCTTCCCTGTTGCTCCAGCCAACTCCACTCCTGGCCATTCCATCCCATCCAATATGAGGAGACATGGTAAGTAGTTGTCTGTTCCCTGTACTTTTCTCTCTCTCGCTCTCCTTCCTCCCAACATCCAGATAGGAATTATCCCATTTGAACTCTTTCCACCAGTGAATGCCTTTGGGATCTGAACCCAGAGCCCCCAGCCTCTGCACTCGGCCTGAGGTTGACTCATCAACCTTCATCCTCGCCACAAGTATAGCCAGGCCAAGACTGGTATGTCCACTGGTGCCGAGGGCCTTGACCCAAAGCTGAGGGCAGCCCTAGGGGTGCTGTGGAGCCTGGCCCTAAGTGCGTGTATGCCTGTGCATCGGGCACACTGGTTTATTAGTGTTATTTCAGCATTGTGATGCAGAGAGAGTAAGTGTAACAGCTGCTCCTTGCTTGCAGTGTTTATTGTTACCTAGAGACAACCTCCTGGCTTTTTCCCAGCTCCCCCTCTCCCCCTAGCCCAGCCCCCTCCCGGCCAACAATCCTACTCTCCCCACACTGATGGGAAATTTATAGCTTGCCCATACCATGCCTTTAACCCTCTCCTATCCATATGATAGGTCGTGAGGGAAGTTGAAGTGAGCAGTGGGCATGCTTAGGCCCCAGCAGAATTGGGTAAAATGAAGGATGGAGGGAGGGAGGGACAAGGCTTCTCCTCCCCAATCTGTGTGTCCATGTTACCTAACAAGAGGTCCGAGGGAGGGGCAATACAATATTTGGCCCACCTAGGGATGCCCAAAACTGCTATACAACAGGGGCCCCTCCCCCAAAAACAAAATACTAATATCTACTGGGCTCTTCTGTCCGCCGCCAATTGGAAAGACATGTCTCAATGCTAGAGACTTGTGAAAAGGAAACAAAATGTTTATTTAATGTTATTCAGGCCTAATGCCTCCACTAAAATATCAAAATCCTTTAGGGTATACACCTACACCCACACAGCGCTCCCTTCTTCCACTGTCCCAACTCCGGGTACCGCAAATCAGGAAAAGAGCACAGGTCTGTGTTGCAGGCCGCTGGCACCGTCAGCTGTGTCACCGTGCAGGCAGGATCTCTCTCTAGTTAATCCAAAGTACTGTGGTACCCTCTCATGGTCCACTGGCAAGAGTTCTTTGTACCCAGTTCCAGTCAAAGTCTCTCTTGTTTTCCAGGCCCCGCGGCCAAAGGGGGCACCCCAAAGCCGCGTGGGCCTCTTCTACCAAAGCTGCAGGGGTTCGCACTCCACCAAAAGCATGTGTCTTTCTTCTTCACCTGGCTGCAGGGATCTCCATTCTGGAAAAGTTGCCTGGTTTTCCCTTTCACCTGGGCAGTTATGGCCTCATGTCCCGGAGCCAGTCTTCTCCAAGCTCTCACACAGGCACCTCTCACTCAGGGGCGCAGCCCCTAGTTTCATTCTGAGTCCAAGCCCTTCTCACTCAGGAGTGCAGCCCCTAGTTCCATCTTGAGTCCCCGCTACTCCCTTCTCCCTGGCTCCAAACTTGGCCACTACTATTTAGCATATCTATGAAACCAGTTAAAGGTTATAGATATGTTAAATAACCATTCCAGAGGTTAGCTGCAAAACTATTGCTATGCAAAACAGTTCTCAATGGCCTGGCTCCATTCGTTTCTTCCCCCTGGGGGGAGGTGTGAGGACATCTTATATGTCTCTCCAATATTCCTATACACTTTGAATTCTGGACACCATTCCAAATCTTTTTTTGGGGGCCCCCCCTGGCTGCACCCTGTATCATACAGACCAAGGCCCCAGCTGCCCTCTTGGCTCTCCTGTTGAGAGAAGGAGCTTTGGATCTAGCCTTGAGATCCCAACATTCTCCTAATATGATCATTCTTTTCCCTGGGCATCTCTAAGGCCCCCGAGTGGACTGCCTGGTCCTGAGCAAGTCTAGCGAGGTAGTACTGAAACAGGAGGAATAAATACTGAGTGGCAGAACCCCCAGCCCCTGCCTCTCTGTAGAGATGTCCTATCAAGACAGACAAGAAGCTCTGGCATGAGGAATGTTGGGCAGACCTCCACAGGTGGGTAGATGTCAAACATGAAGCCAACTGCTGAGCCTGGTGGGAAAAACTGCCCACCTTAACTTCATCCTGAAGTTGGCACTAAGGTCCCTAGGGACTCCTGGGCCATCCTCCAAGCTTGTCTCCTTGATCTGGTTAGGCTGTTCCTTTATGGTCCATTTTCTGCTGCTCATCTTTGTTTTGATACCTTGGGGCAGATCCAAGAGACCAAAGGGACTGAAGTGTTCTTAGCATGGCCTCTAGCACTGGGGGAGGAGGAGCTCCTTTAGCCCCTCCTGACCTAGGACCTTTCCTGGAGGGGCACCTTATCGCCTATTCACCATCTCCACTGCTAATGAGAGGAGGAAGGATCAGATTTTAGCATAAAGGATAGAGGTTAGTCATATGGAAAAACTCATAGAATGTAAGGCTTCAGAATGGGCCTGCTTCAGAGATTTTACTTCTGCCTGGGATGGATTTATGTTTGTACCTACGCAAGCGGCACTGAAAGGACAGGACTACTTTCCTGGGGCTCCTCCAGATGTGGGCCTCACCAGTCTTCACACAGGGCACCGCCCCACAGCTATGCTTCCATGGTGAGCTGCTGACCTCTTTGAGCACTATGTTACCTGGTCTGAAGTGCAGGTGAACAACCTTCTATGGTTGTGGAGAGAATCTAGTGAAATAATGTTTGTAAAGCACTTAAGACAGTGCCTGATACTCAGTAGGTGCCCAGTCAACAGAGGTTGGTACAATAAAGTCTGTTACTTTTATGAAGTTAGCAAGGCTGACGTTGCCTCAAAGGCTCCATGACCCCCCCCCCGAAATTATAGTCCAAATATGTGTATGTGTATTGCTGGAGAGAATGGTCAGTTTCTTCATGGTGCGGAGCCAGTATGGCAGTCTCCTGGAAGTGAAATACCCCCAATCCCTTGACTCGTACTCCCCAGTAACGCAGTTCCCCCACTCCCATTCTTCTCAAGCCAGGAGCATCTCAGGCGGTGTTCTACCTGGAAGGACAGCTGCATCCTGGGTGAAGCTTGGAGAGGCAGTCATTAAGTAGCTCGAACTTGCCAGGCCCTTTCCAGTTTTTTTTTTTTTTTTTTTTTAAGATTTTATTTATTTATCTTTAGAGGGGAAGGGAAGGAGAGGGGAGAGAAATATCAATGTGTGGTTGCCTCTCATTCTCACCTTCTGGGAACTGGCCTGCAACCCAAGCATGTGCCCTGACTGGGAATCAAACTGCGATCCAGGGCCCTTTCCAGTTTCTTAAGTACATTTACCTATGTTAGCTCTTTTGACACCCAGAACATCCTAGTGAAGTGAACTATCATTTACTGAGTGCCTACCTTGTGCTGGGTGTATTTAAATATGTTTAAAGTCTGTAGAATATTTAATCACCTAGATATGCCATGATTTATAAGGCTCATCTCCTATTTTTTTAAAGATTTTATTTATTTTTAGAGAGAGGAAGGGAAGGAGGAGAGAGAGAGAAACATCAATGTGTGGTTGCCTTTTGTGCACCTCCCCCCCTCCCCGACTGGGGACCTGGCCCACAACCCAGGCATGTTCCCCGACTGGGAATTGAACCTATGACCCTTTGGCTCACAGGCCTTTGCTCAGTCCACTGAGCTACACCAGCCAGGGCTCATCTCCTATTTATAATTCTTTAGATATTTTTACTGTTCTAAATAATACCAGAACAAACATTCTGACATAAAACTTTATGTTTTTATAATAAATTCCAAGAATTGAAATTATTGGGTCAACAGATACAAATATCCACCCTCATAGTTATGATAATTTTATTGATGTACCCTAATGAGAACAATATTTTTTAATCTTTCTCTTTGGAATTCTGCAATGGAAACACAATTGCAGCCCCTTCTCCCTTTTATACCCAGCAGAGACATTAATAATCTATCATAGCCTTTTTTTTAATTGAGGTAATTGTAGATTCACATGCAGTTATAAGAAATAACACTGAGATCCCTTGTACATTTTGCTTACTTCAACCCAATATAGTAACATTTTGCAATACTACAGTGTATCCCAACCAGAGTATTGACATTGATACAATCCACCAATCTTACTTAGATTTCTCCAGTTTTACTTGTTCATGGGTGTATTGTTATATGCAATTTTATTATCCATATAAAATTGTATATCTGCCATTACAGCCAAGGCACTGAATAATTCCAATACCACAAGGATTCCTCAGGCTGTCGTTTTATAATCATGCCTCTCTCACCCCCTCCTTAACCCTTGGCAACCACTAATCTATCTTCCACTTCTAAAATTTTGTCATTTCAAAAATGGAATCATATATTATGCAACTTTTCAGAATCGCTTTTTCCACTCAGCATAATTCCCTGGAAATGCATCCAAGTTTTCGTATGTACCAATAGTTTGGTTCTTTCATTTGTTCCTTGGTATGGATGTACCACTATTTAACCAGTCACCTGTTAAAGAATACTTTGTACTTGCTAGGTATTAATGAAGTACCTCATTTTACTTTGTGTGTGGAGTGTTTAATATTCAAAAAATTTTTAAGTATATATTATTTTTTACTTTGGAGAGAGGGGAAGGGAGGGAGAAAGAGAGGGAAGAAATATCGATGTGTGAGAGAAACATTGATCAGTGGCCTCTCACATGTGTCCCAACCAGGGACCAGGCCCGCAACCCAGGTATGTTCCCTGACTGGGAATGAGACTGGCAACTTTTGGCTTTGCAGGATGATGCTCAACCAACTGACCCATGCTGGCCAGGGCTATATTCACAATTACTAAGTTTCTTAACCTTTCAGGCTGGCACTGCACTATTTTTTAAAATATTTTACTGATTTTTTTTTTTTACAGGGAGGAAGTAAGAGAAACATTGATCCACCGCTCTGCCTATCCATTGGCTGACTCTTGCATGTGCCTGGACCAGGGATTGAATCCACCACCTTGACAAATTTGGACAAGGCTCCAACCGAGTTACCTAGCCAGGGTACATGCGCTATTATTATTTCCATTTCATAGATGAGGAAAATTGAGGTTCACAGTAAGTGATTTCCCTACTATCACATTCTATTAAATGGCAAAAGAGAGCCTGGAACTTCAGACAATAGGGCTCTTTCACTACACCAGGCTTTCTGAGAGCTTGACTAAGGCTGCTGGGAAAAGGGTGTGTTTGAAGAGAGATGTTAGAAGCAGGAAGAGTATTGGAGCAGCCTCAGTCAATTCAGGTACTCCCCGATAACTTTGGTTCCTAGATTAGAAGAATGGCAGTGTCATAGAGCAGGGACTCTGACATTGTCTCCCCTTCTCCAGAAAAGAGCAAGACTGAAGTGGGTGGAGCCCATAAGAAATCTTTCCACAGACGGGAGAACTGGAATGGGAAAAGGAGGATCCAGTCTCTGGGTGTCTATCAGACAATGAGTGGGGCAAGATACTCCTTGAAAATGTGAAGGTTAAGTAACGTATCTTTGACGGGTCTAAGGAAATCGATGCCTATGCCTAAGAGTGAGCTCTCTATTCCAAAGGGGTAAGGGAGGTGCAGCACCTTTTTGAGGTTTTGGTTACGGTGAGGGTAACTACAGTTCATTTGCACACGTACTTACTACACCTTGGGCAGGCTCAGTGTCTGGAATGTGGTTCAGGGGGCAAACAGAGTGAAAGCAAAAATGCCAGGCCAGTGTTTAGTCCCGACTTCACCGTCGCTCTTTCCCTCCAACTAAGTCAGAAGGAGTGGTAGAAATCATTTGGTCTGTCCCTCAGCCTCTGGGCACTGGTTGGAGCTGACAGGTGGAAACCTAGAGTTGGCCCAGACGTGATGGATGGTAGAGATGCCAATTTGCAGGAGAGAAGGTTTGGCTCCTCTCCTGGGAGCTGTGTCTGGCCAAAGGCTGCCCCCTCCCACCTCTTGCTGGAACCCGCTCTTTTATAGTCAATGTCACCATTGCTCCCTTGGCCTATCACAGTGACTGTGGACTCATAACAATTTTCCCCATCTACTTAAGGCTCCAGAACCAGGCTGACTGCACAAGTCCCTTTTCTCCCTCTCCCTTGGCCCATCAAAAAATGGTACATGTTCTCCCAGTGGCAGCCACCATCCTTACCCAGTAATTTCAGCCATGCAGATAAATGCTGAGGCCGTCGGCATTTACAGGGACAACACTACGTTGCTGAAACGACCAGAGATACCTATTCTGCATGCCTGTCTTTTGGTTGGAAGTTCTTAGACCCAAAGGAGACTGTTCTTTACCAGCTCTTATCCCCACTGAGACTTCCTGACGGTCAGAGGTCCTAAATGTGGCCAGGAGACAGCTCTCTTCCCTCGGAGCCAAAATTGCTCCTAACCAGGAAACATCAGGGCCCCTACCTACTCCCTTTTTTTGGCTGCCTCTCTACTCCAGGCCCCGTTCTCTCCTGCCACCACTCCCTTCCCATTCCTCCTTTCTCCTCTCTCTCTCTCAGCAAGTTTTTTATGTGATTACAGGCGCTGCATGGTAATTAGTGCTAAACTCATTTGCACAACTACAGTTAATTGGCTACAACAATTAATTAATGTGTTGGAAATTTGGCACTGGAAAAAAAAAGTTTGTCATCAAAAAAAGGGCAAAAAATTGTAGAGTAAGGTACCCATAAAAATTGAGGGCAGGCTTCAAAAGCCCAGCTGGGCCTCAAACTTCAGGCTGGCCTCGGATGCCTTCCCACCCTCAACTTCAGCACATTTTCTTCCTTCCTCTTTTATTTTTTCCTCTTCCTTTTTCCCTCTCACCCTTCCTCTCTCTTCCTCTCTCTTCCTCCCTCTCTTTCTCTTTTACAACTTAAGCAAACTCATTTCCCTGATAAAATATAGCATGACTAATGGCTAGAGCATGTAAAAATCATTGGGAAAATGTCCTTGGAAGACGAATGCATTTTCAGCAGAATAATTAACTTAATTAACAAATTCACATGCATATTCATCAGGCTATTAATGTCTTCTCGGCTCAGCTTGATGAACATTGCGGTAATAACCATCTCATTTACATAGTGCATTCTACTGCGATCCAAAACAGAGACAACATACAGGCGTATACACACACACATACACTTGCACAAATATACACAACATGCCTGGGCCGCTTTGATTTCCAGGTTGGTTGTGTGTGTGTGTGTGTGTGTGTGTGTGTGTGAGAGAGAGAGAGAGAGAGATGGAGTGTGTGTGTGTGTGTGTGTGTGTGTGTGTGTGTGTATAGGAACCCCGACTGGATGATGCGATCTTCAGAGGGTCATGAGCGAGGTGGGGTAGGGGTGTCCACATGTGGATGTCTGAGCGAACTTTAATTCATTCTCTCTCTCTGCCTCTTTTTCCTTGTTTCCTTTCCTCTGTGTCATTTTCTTCTCTCGTGCCGCCCGCCCCCCAGTCTCTCTAGGGAAAAACTTGGTATCTGTGCCAACTTTTTCCCTCCTCCCCTCCTCCCTCTCTCTCCTCCTTCCCCACTTCCAACTGCTGCCAGCCGGCATCAGCACCGAATTGCCATCTCCTTGAGCTCTCTGTGGAGCAATCTCAGAGAGCAGTAAGGTGTGACGCGGGGCTCTGCCGGCTTCGCAGCACCGCCTGCGGAAAGAGCGCAGGATGGCGGAGGAAGATTAAGAGAAATCGCGAGCAGGGCTGGGCTGCCATTGGTGTGTGCAAACGCCGAGGAGGAAGGGAGAGGGAGAGCAAGGAGGTGGGGGTAGAATGGGCGGGGGGACCAGCAGCTGTCGGCCTAATTCTTCTAACACTCTGCTTGTGGTCATATTAGAAAAACAGATTATGCCCCTTGGTGCCACTCACTTATACTTGACAATAGTTAATGTTCTCTATCTCCATTCGCGGATCTTGACAACAGTGGACTTAAGTTCAAGGAGGATGGGGGTGTGGGTGGCCAAGGGGCACCAAAGACCTACCCTTCCTGCTCTCCTGACCTCCAACCCCAGTCTATACTAGCCCTCTAGGAAGCAAGCCTGGGTCATAATTTTGCATCTGATGCTACCCTTTGGCTCTGCTTTTTGCAGCCCCCTCTAACAGAGGTCAGAGGACACCTGGAAGCCCTTTCCCCTGAAAAGTCACTGCCCCTTTAGTCTTAATAGGTCACATTAGGCCGAAGTAAGACCAGCTTTGTGGCGCCCCTTCCTCTAACCTTTCTGTGGGCCATACCCCTTAATCCAGAAGTTGAGGGGTAGAGAAAGTGGTCCATGGTAGTACTCCATGTGAGGGCTACAGAAAAGCCAGAAACAAAACCCGGCCAGGATTGTTTCTAGGTTGCTATGGAAACCAGGTTCCCTCCTCCTGGCAGAAAGGGAGGACTGCCTGAGGCTTGCCTCCTTCCACCAATCCAGAAGGCTGTAAAGGTGGAGTTTGCTAAGGCCCTGAGAATAGGCCTGGTCTTGGAGGAGAAACCAACCATTCCCAGTAGCACTGTCTGCCAGACCACAGCCCTTTGACCTCCACCTTCCTTACCCTCTCACCCCAAAATTCAATCAAAGGAGGCTTTTCCTCTCAGTGCCTTGTCCTCTATGGAGACCTGTTGCTTAGCAACCACTAGTGCCTTCTTCCTAATAACTTGCAGGGACTGAGAGATATAATATCTGTCTCTATATTCAATCCCCCTCCCCTGTCTATTTATATTTAATAACTGAAGCCCTGTCTTGGGTTCTCTTGGCACTTGTTTTAGAGTACTTTTAGATGGAGTACGCTACAGCCTGAAGAAATAAAGTTATACTTAATGAAGAACTTCCAAATGGGGAAGAGTGGGAGAAAAGACTGGAGTAGATCGAGAAGCTGTGGGGTGATATTTTTTTAAGTGTATGTAGGTGGGGGGAGTATTTAGAACTTGGAATGTGTGGAGAGGATGTCTACAGGGATTCCCAAGGGTCTGTTCAGGAACCTGGGGTGGACCCTAAAAACTGTTTTCTGGCCTGGCACTTTCCACCCCCCACCCCCTGTCCTGCCCTCCTTCCTAGCAACTTTCAGTCTAGAGCCCTCTCATATTTCTGTACGTGGGAGGTCCATCTCTCCGGGGACGTCCAGTTTCCTAGCATCTGTGTGTTGGTATCCAGGAGGGGGCTGTGTAGATGTGTGTCCAGCAAGGCCTGGGCGTTCTCCCAAAGTTTTTCAGTCACAGGGAAGGAATTCTGAGCTCTCTCCTAGAAAGCTCCAGAGCTGACCTAGCAGTGGGGGCTACACAATATCACTGAAAATGAGGAGCACAGAAGGCCCACGTGTCTCCTATGGGCTGTGTGTGGAGTCAGAAGGCCTGGGTCTGAGCCCCCTCTTCCTGTTCTCCTCTGATCCTAGTTATTCAATTAACCTTTCCCTTGTGCTTCATCTGCAGATCAAAAATAATGTTTACTTCCTTGGACTTCTGGGGGATCAATTTTAAGTAATATATGAAAGGAAACACTCTGAAAACTGACAACTTTAACTAAAATATTAGTTTAAGGTCTAGAAAAGGCCTGATTGCTGGGAAGAGGGAGGCATCATGAATGCAGTCTCGCCCTGGGCTTGGAACACCATTAGCTTTTTAGCCAGAGAGGTATGATTCTTTTCCCTGTAGTTGGTGGGGTAGGGAGCTATAAATCAAAATCAAACACAAGTCTGTGTAGGGAAAGTAGCATGCAGTGTCCCCATCACCTTCCCCACCACCAGTCCCCAACTCTGACCTTTATCCTGAGTGGCCAAGACACAAGTCCTGCTGACACCCCCCCGAACCTTCCATCCTTCTGGGTCAGCACCTTCACTGCATTTGTGCTAGCTCACAGACTGTGCAGTTTCACCCTTCATACCCCCCTTCTCAGCACCTCCGCCAACCCGAGCCTTCTGTGGGAGACAGATGGGGTGTCTGCAATGGAAAAAGCTCTGGGCTCTATGCCGCCTTGGGTGGGCAGCCCCCCCTTCCCATCCCCCACTGCTCCCCCTCTCCCTACCTAAGATACTCAGATTCACCCTGGGCAGCTTTGGGAGCTACTGAGAATTCTAGCTCTCTTCCTTCTCAGACTCAGCTCAAGAAGCAGAGCCAGAATGGCATCTTTCTCCAAGACCTAAACCCCATCCCCTCTTCGTAGAAGACCAGTGCAAGGAAGAAACAGACTAGGGAATGGTAGGGCTCCATGTGAAGGAACTAATGTGGAGAGGCTCAGAATCCCTCACCAAGGACTGGATGCTGGGCTTGGGGCCTGAGTTGACAGAGGAGGTTGAGCCTAGGCAGCTTCTTTGTTCCAGAAATCTGGGGTCCCTGAAGGAAGGCTTAGCTTGGGGAGGGGGAGAAAGGGAGCTAACGCTACAGAGCACCAACTGTGAGCTAGGCATGATGCCAGAGCCTTTCCATACTTGTAGTCACAACTAGCAGGTGAGGAGTCAGGACGAATAGGTGTCTCAGGAGCTCTCAGCACCTTGGTGCACTTGACCTCCTCCTCTTCTGATTCTGTGATGTCACTGCCAGTTCTCCCCCTACGCTGGCCTCTCTTTCTCTGTCTCCTTTGCAAGCTCGTCCTCGGGCTCAGCTGAGGCCTTCAATTATATACTTTCATGGTACTATATATCCTTTCATCACACTTAGAACAGTTATCCCACACTTATTTGTGCAGCCATTTGAATAATGATCCTACTTCCCCCACCAGATGGAAAGTTCCACGAGGACAACGACCGTGTGTTCACAGGTGTGCTCCCAGTGCTCAGCATAGCGCCTAGCATAAAGCAGCTATTTGGTAAACATTTGTTGAATGAATGAATAAATGACAAAATGATATCTCTCTTGCCTATACTCAGCTTTTTTAGCCACTCCCACACCCTAGAGTTCACTTATGCCCAGTGCGTGAGCCAGGCAACAGAGTGCCTGGGAGGTCATCTCCTTGGGAAAAGCCATCAGGATAGGAGTAGCCCAAGTTCCAGGATATGGGGCCTCTGCCCTGTCTGTTTGTTCTCCAGCTTCCCCAGGGACTGAGAGAATTCAGAGTGCCAACACCTCCTCCCCATATAGGGGCCCGAAATCACTAGTGAGCTGGAAGGGAGGAGTTCCATTGGAGAAGTATCTCTTTTCTGCCTTAGCTGAGACTGCAGAGACCATCTGCTGCCACCCCTCTGTTTGCTTCTGTCCTCTTCCCTTGGACTTCAGGGAAGAGGATGGTTCGACCAAGTGGGAGGGAAAGATGGTAAGAGAGGGACAGGCTGCTTGTTCTTTGAGGGGCTGGTGATGAGCTGCAGCCAGGTGATTGGAGCAGAGGAACACAGGATACGGCAGCCTCAGGTTCTTTGGGGCCATACTCTCCAGACCCTGGGAAGCAAGGAGGGACCAAACAATCTCTGGGAGGTGGCCAGCCTTCCACCCAGGCCTTCATCTGACCTTTTTCCTGCCCTTGACCTCAAACAGTATTCACAGGTCTACAGGAAGTTAAAGTTAGGCCAGCTCCTTGTTCTCCCGGGCCATTCCCCATTCTAGCCAACTGCCCAGCCCAGAACATCTCTCCCAACCCAGCTCAGCACTGATGAGCAGTCCTCACAGCTGCCCCTCATCCAGTCCCCTCATCCCGATGGCACCCCTTGGCACCCATGTGTCTGGGGCCATAGATGTGGAATCCACTCTAGGCATTGTTGCGCTCTCAGACCCTACCTGTTCTCTGGGCCCCTAATGAAGTAGGACAACTTGGGCTATGGGCCAAGTCCTTGTGTCCTCATCAAAGGCAACATCTGTCTCCTCCAAGATGATAACCCTGTGGGGAGGGGGGATGAGATAGGCACAAGGGAGAAACCCCAATCCTGCCTAGGCCCTCACCCCAGATTCCACTGCAGGTGCCCATTGAGGGTGAGGGCCAAGACAGCCACGGAGGCCTGAACTCAGGCATACCCCTGCACGGGCCTTCATGCCTCTCTGAGCCCCCGAATCTAGACCCCTCCTGGCCTCACCGGCTACCTGTGCTAGTGCTGCTGCTGCTGCCAAGCCAGCCTTCTTTTATTCATGCGTTGTTTTATTGCTGGCAAATGCTGCTGCTTGCCGCTGTTAGAGGCGTTCCTGCCAAATCCATCCCAACATCTTGGCCTGGCATCAGGGCGGCATGCTAATGTGGAAATTTAAAGAGCCGCTCAGCTTTAAATCGGAATTTTAAATGAGCAGCAATGCTCCAGAGGGACCCGGGCAAAATCGAACAGTATCTGATCCACCCTTCCTGCTCCCACTCCCATAGAATCACCCCACTTCCTCCTACCTCTCTCCTTGACTTGAACACTAGATGAGGCAATGGTATGGCACACAGCAGGTGAAGAAAGAGCTACCGGGGCAGAGGGATTGGTGCAAGATGGAGTCACCTATGTCAGTAAGGGTCTAGGATTCCCCCAACTCAGGACCAAGGAGGGATCTACTGCTTGCTGTCATGAGAAAATGGAGGCAGAGACTCTCCAAAGGGAGCCGGCCTGGGGATGGTGAAACTGACCTGCCTACCTCACTTCCCATTTTACCGGGAAGCAAGAAGAGAAGGCCCAGAGCAGAGAAGAGGTGGAGTGGAATTCCACGAAGACATTCACATGCAGCATACAGTTGTGCGGGCCGGGGTGTGCCCACCGAGCTATGTAGACAGGTCAGGGTGCTTGCTCAAGTGCCTGTGTGTAGCACAGGCACACAGGGCTCACACATCACCTATGCGTGGAGAGGGTTTATTCACATAGGCGGGGCAGTCTTCCTCCCCACATCCAGGCCCCTGTCCTAACCAGAGCAAGCTGGCTTCTGTATGTTGCTAGCCTGAGCTATGCTCCAGGTTTTCCCACAAATCCTAATGCATTAATATTCCCCAGCTCCTGGCAGCTACCTTGAGTCAGCTGTGGTGGTGACAGAGCCCCACAGCAACTCTGGGGCACCTGAACTCATTTTGTGCATTGTCATGGCTACAGTATGGTGACCATCAGATGACAGGCTCAGACCTCTCACCTGGGAGAGGTAGCCTTCATTTCAGAGGGAAGAGGGGGCTGATGGGAGCTAAAAGAGGCAGAATCTGTGCCTGTCCGTGACCCCTTTTCCTCATCTGTCTCCAGGAAACAGGTGGCCCCTCATTATCAGAAAATATATACTGAGTGCCGATCCTCAAAGAGACAATGTGCTTAGCTTAGCACAGTGCCTCCCAGTTTTCTGTGCTGGGTGGAAGACAGCCCCAAGAATCTAGATGTGCTATCCCAGTTGCATCCACAATAACTTGCATGGTAATCTCAACCTAACCAGTGTTAGGCTGCCAGGCCAAAGGATGCTCCCTCACCTTCCCCAAGATTGCCCCTCCTTCAAAGAAGGAGTCCGCTTCTTCACAGACTGCTGTGGCTGCCAGCCAAGAGGCTTGGGGCAGGCCTGGGGCATGCAGCTGGCACCTGCCCACCAGATCCCCGAGGAGCACCTTCCTCCCCCACTCCATAGCCCCACTCAGATGGCCCCTGGGCTGCAGAGAATCAGAGCTCACTGCTCGCCATTCCCAGAGTAAACCTCCAGCTGGACAGCCCATCATCTTTCTTTCCACTGTAACCTGCTCCAAGATCCTTTGCCCAGAGAACATATGCTAAAAATCTACCAGGTACTTTTTCCAGGCAGGACCAAATACTTAATACAGTGGCGGTTGGGCTGGGACTAGGTAGGAGGCCTTGAGAGGTGAGGCCTGGGCTGGAATTATGGGAGAAGTTGCTGTGGTCAAGAGGTGGCTGAAGAAGAACTCAATCATCTTTTGAGATAGGATGGGGACTGGGGGTCATCAAGTGAAGGGGCTGAGTGAATCTACCTCATTCATCTATTTAGCAACATGTAAATAATATGCAAATCACCCCCTCTTTGTTTGGAGATCATAGGGCCTGTGCTTTTTGGAAGTAGGCTACAGAGGGACCACCAGGCAGTGTCTCTGAGACCCTCAGACATGGGACACTCAGGCTCAAGAGAGAGACCACAGTTCAGCCATCTGGCTCTTGCTTAGTCCCTGGTTGGGCTCTCTTTCTATAGGCCTTCATTCCCCTATGTGTGAGATGGCAGGACTGGACTGCATGGACTCCAAGGCTTCTGTCCAGTACTGACAGTCTAGGGTTCTCTGACCAGGGGCCCAGGGCCAGCACATTGTGGAGGGATCAGTTCCATTCTGGGGTGGATGCTACCGCTGCTGCCCATCTCAGCAGTTCTGTCACAACACCCAGCTGCCTCCCCATGCACCCTCTGTCCCAATGTGTGAGCAGATTCCTAAGACAGTGTTCTCTCCTCCTCTGTGCCTTTACTCACACTGTTTCCTCTGCTTGGAATGTCCTTTTGCTTTAGTGCCGGCTAGCTCCTTCTCTGCCTCCAACAGCCTTACCTACTGTAGCTTTTCACCGTCTGGGCACCCCTATGCATTGTCTCCTTCTCTTGCATCCCACTGGCCTGTGAACTCCTAAAGAGTAGGTGCTAGCTTTCGTTCCAGATGGAATCTCAATGTAAGTGTTTTAGTTTCCCAGGGCTGCTGTACTAAATTATCACTACCTTGGTGGCTTAAAACAAATTTATTTTCTCACATTTCCAGAGGCCAGTAGTTCAACATCAGTCTCTCTGCACCAAAATCAAGACTTTGGCAGGACTCTGAGGGCTCTCCCTGAGGCTCTAAGGGAGACTCTGTTCTTTCAGCCTCCAGTGGCTGCTGGCAGTCTTTTGCTAGTAGCCACATCACTCCAATTTCTGCCTCTGTTCACACCTTCTTCTGCTCTTCTGTGTGTGTCTGGTCTCCCTCTGCCTGTCTCTTACAAGGACCTGTGTGGTGTGACCTTTAGAACCCAGCCAAATGATCCAGGCAGGATAATCTCCCCACATCAAGATTCTCAGCTTAGTCACATCTGCAAAGACCATTTTCCCAGATAAGGTAACATCCACGGGTTCTGGGGGTTAGGATGCGGACATGTCTTTAGGAGCCATTGTTAGACTACCAAAATAAGCAAAGACGTCTTTAAATTGGTTACTCATCTACCATGTGCCAGACCCCACACATACATTTATCTCTCTGCATTTCAGTCTCCCATCACCCTGAAAGGTAGGTAATAATGTCTCTACAGATGAGGAAACTGAGTGAGGCTCAGGGACATCGAGTCACCTGCTGAAGCTAACACAGCTAATAAGTGACAGAGACAGGATTTCAAACCAGGTGGGCTTGGCTCCAAAGCCACCGTGATTTTTGCCTCCCCAATAGCCTCCCCCAGGCCCTGGCAAAAATTTCCTACCTGAATGAATGTGCAGAAACAAAGAAGTCGATTAGAGAAGGAGAGATAAGACCCAGCCTTCCTAATGATATCCACTAAGGCTTTCTTCTGCCAGAGCCCTCTTGCCACTCCTCCTGGTCCTCCCACACCATCCCTGACCCCTTGTTTCAGAAGCCTGGAATCTCCCCCAGTTTGTAGCTCTTTGCCAACGACTGCTGCCCAGAAGGGTGGCACAGTGCCTGGACTTCAGGCAGAAGGTATCAAATCACAGGACCAGAGGGACCTCTGGAGGTCACCTCTTCTACCCCTCCGCCCATATACAGGCCTGCAAGACAGGGCAGACGGGGTCAGAGTAGTGGGCAGAAGAAGGGAAAATTAGCCACCTCTTCCTTTGGCTATTCTTTCTCTACCTTTTACACAATTTGTACTGGGAAGTTCTCACTCAGGTCTAACCTTCCAGACATCATGATTTAATGAAAGCTGACCAGAGTCAGATTGTCCAAGATTGTCCAAAACATACAATGAGATTTTAGCTAACTACCTTCACCTCTCAGGGCCTGTAATTCTTCATCT